GGACAGACTGCATGGGCTTGAATCCTGGCTCTGCCTCTCGGCAGCAAGTTACTTAATCTCCTTGTGCCTCAATTTCCTCCTCTCTAAAACGAGGATAATGACAATACGTACCTCCTGGGGCTGACACTGGAAACAAAAGTTAATTAACAGAAGATACTTAGAACTGTGCGCGGCAGAATGAGTCAACTGTCAGTAGCAGTAAAATCATCTCACTGACTCACCCTGGAAGGAGGCCGGGGAGAGATCACGGCTCCCCTTTCGCAGGCGGGGACTCTGAGGCTCACGAGAGTGACTTGACTTGCTGCCTACTGTGGAGCCTGGGACTAAACCCAGTCCCCCTGCCTATGGGTAAGGTCGCACCATCCCTGCACCCGGAGTCCTCATCTTGGCGCCCACTGCAGCTCCCTCCCACCTCCTGGGGGCTCCCCGCAGCCCCACCTGTCTCCAGCTGGAGACCTCAGGGGTGTAGAACTCCAGGGCGAGCAGCCCAGCCCGGACCATGTTGAGCCAGTTCACGTAGATCACGTCTTCTGCGTCAGCCCCCTCAAAGCCAAAGATCCTGGGGAAGGAGGGGCGGGTGACAGGGACGGTCAGAGGCTGCCCTGCTCTCCCGGGCAGCACCCATCCCTCCAACCCCGCCGGCCACTGCACGGGGCAGCCCACCCCTCCGGCCTGCTGCCCGTACTCCAGCACTTGGGGGTGGAGGCAGAGGTAGAGGCCCACGCTCTCGGCCCGGCACTCTTCGTAGCTGGAGGCGATATTGCTGAACTTGCTGTCCCAGGTCTCCCCGCTCTGGTACCAGCTCTGAATCTGGGAGGGGAGGCCCAGAAACCAGGCTTAGGGGCGGCTGCAACCCCAGACGTGCCCACCCTCCTCCAGCACCCCGGGGGTCGACCGAGGCTGCCCTCACCTGCTCCCCAGTCTCTGGGTTGATCACTGTCTCCTGGTCAAAGTTGAACGCTCCCTTCTCATCCTGCAGACACGGCGTGAGTGAGGGACGGGCCTGGCCCCGCTTTCAGCCCCAGCTCCATGGCCGAGGAGAGGCTCAGGAAGGCCGGGCGGCAAAAGTGGCACCTCTGTGCACATACTGACACCTCCAAACCCAAGTTCTGCGACACCAGCTGCCTCCTCAGAGCCCTCGGGAGGGGGAGAACCAGAGCTGCCTACTCCACGGCACAGAGAGGGAAACTGAGGGCTAGACAGGGGAGGGACTTACCCGTCGTGTGAAGACCCAGACCTGGTATCTCCAGACCCCAGCTGGACCCCAGTGGATGGGCCAGAGAGCCTGGCTGCTCCTCCCACGTGCATCCCAGCCCACCTCCTGGCGCTGCCAGCCAAGCCACGGCGTCATCCCCTCCGTCCCACCATGTGCCAAGCGCATCCATTTAATCCTCAGAACCACCCTCCAAGAAAGGTGCCATGACGACCCCACTTCAAAGATGGGGAAACTGAGGCTCAGAGACTAAGAGCCCCAAACTGGAATCAGAGCACACAACCCGCATGTATCCCATCTCTTGACACTATTGCCCGTTTGCTGATGGCCTACTGTGTGCCAGGGCTTATTATCCACTTTCCCTTTTATTCCTTTCAATAAGCCACAGAGTAGGGGTCAGGACCCCACTTAACAGGTGGGCCAACTGAGGCTCAGGGAGGGGAACTGACCTGTCCAAGGCCACAGGCTGGATAGAGCCCGGACAAGGCTCCAGGCCAGGCTGCTGCCCCATCAGCTGCTCTCTGCATCTTCCTGACTCCCCGCCAGCGCCGTTCTGCCCGAGCAGGAAAGCACCCACCCATGGCAGCAGGCCCCACCCGCACCCTGTGCTCTGATGGTCCCTGCCATGTCCCATCTCTTGTCACCTCCACTCTGGGGATCCACCCAAGCTTTCCTCAGCCTGCCAGAAAGGCTGTCTGCCTTTGCCACATTCCTGAGTACATGTGGGGGTTCCAGCCACTCCCACCAGCTGGCAGGAAAGGCCGCTCTGGGGAGAAGTGGCTCCTTACAACAGCTGGAAGGGTCCAGCTCCAGGGAACAGCAGTGCGAAGAGACAGCGCTGCAGCCTCAGGACAGGGAATGTCCAGAGACGGCCCCGCCCAGCCACTGTGCCCAGGGCTGCTGGGCTCACACCCTCAGGGTGAGCTTCCGGCCTGAGTCGAGCAATCCCTCCTGGTGCAGGGACAGCAGCCGGACTGTCCCAGAGGCCCCTCGACACCCACCCAGTCGTCTGAACTCCTGGCACATCTCAGGGGAGGGCAAGGCAGGGTCTTCCCTGCTTAGGGGGCTGTTTTCCTACTAAACCCAAAGCCCATAAGGGCCGAGACTGGAGCCACCTCGCCCTGGGCAGGGCAGTCGTCAGGGAGGGGACTGTGGGCCTCGCAGCGGAGGCAGCTCCTGTGGGCCCTGGGGCCGGCCACTGCCGTCTCACCTGCACGAAGAGTTTGCCGCTGCCGTGGCCCAGCAGCTCGTGCAGCCCAACCTGCACGTCGAAGGACGGCCCCTTCCACTGGAGGTACAGGTCCTGCCGGGACAAGCAGAGACCCACGCTGTCCACCGGCGCCAGCCACGCAGCCTGCCGGCCTTCCCTTCCCTGCCCCGGGCCGAGGGCCCGCCGGGGTGCACGTGAAGGCTGACTGTGCTCCGGCCCCACGGAGCCCATCTCGTCCTCACAGTGACCCAGGAGGGAGGGACACTTCCACCATGTGACCAGTGAGGAAACTGGGCCTTCAGAGCGGCACTTGGTCACAGGGCCTGGGAGCGGCAGAGCCAGGACCAAAGCTGTGCTCCCGCTCCACTGCTCTGGGCTGCCTGTCTTCCCCGGTCCACGGGGGCAGGTGAGGCCCAGCGCGACCCCCAGCCTGCTGGCGCCCACCTTGTCGTCCTCCTCCAAGAAGGTGAGCTTCTCACGCGGCGTGGTGTAGGCCACAGCCAGCACATTCCCCAGCGACACATTCTTAAAGCCTTCTGTCTGCCGCAGGTCGTCGTCTGGAGAAGGCAGGGAGGGACCAGGGAGAAGGGGCAAAGGTCAAGGGTCACAGACAAGAGGAAGAGGCTGGGCCGGTGTGGAGAGGGAGGGGGCCCGGGGGCTGGGCCAGGGACACGCACAGTTGGGGATGTTGATGCCAGCAGGGATGCCGGAGCCAGCGAAGGTGAGGACATCCAGGGAGGTGAAGTCGGGCGTGAGGAACTTGTCCTTCTCGAAGGCTGAGGGCCAGGGCAGCTCCTTCAGCAGCTGCTCCGCACTTGCCACAAGCCGCTCAAACTTGGCGCTCATGGCCTTGTTCACCATGGCCACGAAGCCTGCAGGGCAGCGAGGGGCTGTGGCTCGGCAGGGTTCTGGGAGGGCTCCCACGCCATCCCACTCAACCCCGTAGCCATCACGCACGTATTGACCACCTGCTGTGTGCAAGGACCCCGTGCTGGCTACTGGGGACAGCAGCGACCCAGGCCTCGGCCCTACCAGATGAGGACCTGGCAGGAAAGCTGTCTCCCCCTCAGGCCCCCTGCGTCCAGGGGCTCACACCCACGCCCTGAGGGGGTCGTGCTCCCCTCCCTCCTCCCAGGCTGAGTGCTCTGGCTTCAGCATGTGGACACTCATCCCACGTCCAGGGACCAGGGGGCATAAGGGCGGGCAGAGCCACGACCGTATCCTCGGGCTGGACGCTCTGCCTTACACAGTGGGTCCCGTGGGGCGTGGGGGCCGAGGCAGCCTGCCTCCATCCCAGAATGACAGCACCAAGTCAGGCTCACAGTCACAATGCCCTCCCACTCCCGGCCACTGGGTGCGGCAGTCTGTACGCGTTATCTCACTCGTGCGCACAGGCTGGGTGATCGGCACAGGGCCACACAGCCGTGAGTGGCAAAGCCGGGCTTAGACGCACGTCCGTCCGTCTGCCCGGAGCCTGGGCCCTGACCAGACACCAGAGGCAGCACAGCAAAGTGGCTCAGAGCCAAGTGCCTGGGCTCGGCACCCGCCAACTGTGCCCCAGTTCCCATGTCTGTTAGGTGGGAGTAAAAATCCTCACGGGAGGATGACTTGTAAACGAGTGGACAGGTAAGCTTTGTACAACGGTGCCTGGTGTGTGCGAAACAATCCTTACCACGGCTGCTGCTATTGTCATTACTACAGCCGAGGGAGACTGGGGTATGAACCTGGACATGGGGGAGGGATTCCAACCTGATCCCCCCACCCCACCCAGCAGTTACCTTCAAACTCTCCTCGGGAGCCGAAGGGGTCGCGGTAGCTCTCGATGAACCCGATGTAGCTGCAGAGAGAAGGGCAGAGGTGGAGGAGGGGCGGTGGGCGGGCAGTGCAGGGCTGAGGCCGGCCCTCACCTCTCCACGATGGGGCCTTTGTCCTGGATCCAGAAGCGGGAGCCCCTCTTGTGGGCATCGACAGAGCCCTGGGTGAAGCTCTCCACGTACTGGGCCAGCATCTGCTCCTGGTGGCTGTTGGCTGCGTACGCCTGGGGGTGGGCAGGGGCCGCTCAGCCTCGGACCACCCACCCGTCCCCATCCCGTCCCGAGCCTGCACCCCTCGGCCCCCGCCAGTCCTACCTTGGCTTTCTCCAGCTGCTCCACCACCTTCTGCAGGATGGGAGCATAGTCCCCGCGGGTCACCTGGAAATGGCTGCCCCTGAATTCGTAGCTCTTCAGCTTGGAAGTCACTTCGGAGTCCAGGGCAGGCTCTGAGGAGAGAGGAGTCGCGCAGGGAAAAGGCCAGTGTGAGACACCTCCGCAGACTTTCCACCACAGCACTCTTTCACTCTAAGATCGTCAATGGCTCCCACTGCCAACAGAAATTAGCAGACGCTCTCATCTTCAAAAAAATATGTATTAAGTCACATGCAATGTTCTAAGTGCTTTATATGTGTTCACGCATTTAAGCCTCACACCAGCCCTGTGGGGAGGAGAGATTATTCTCTCCATTTCACAGATGGGGAAACTAAGGCACCAAGAGGCTGGAGAGTGGCAACCTGGATTTAAAAAGACAACCAGGCCCCAGATACGGTCACAGTGGTCCTCATGAGGCGACAAGAGGTTGACCGGGGAGGTGGGGTCGTGACAACAGAAGAAAGCTGTTGGATGGAGTGGGGAAGGGGCCAGAGCCCAGGAGTGCAGACAGCCTTCTAGAAGACAGAAAAGGCAAGGAAACAGATTCCCCGAGACTCCAGAAGGGACACGGCCCAGCTGACCTTGATTTTAGACTTTAGACCTTCACAACTGCAACAGAATAAATTCGTGGTAATTTGTTAGAGAAGCAATGGGATACCGACACACTGCTGCATTTTGCCTGTTGTCTCCAATCAATAAAAGATACCTATAAACGATGTAAAAATTTAAATAAAAAAGACAGCCACAGCCAAGCATGGTGGCTCACGCCTAAAATCCCAGCACTTTGGGAGGCCGAGGCGGGAGGAACGCTTGAGACCAGGAGTTCGAGACCAGCCTGAGCAACATAGTGAGACCCCATCTCTACAAAAAATAGAAAAATTAGGGCGTAGTGGCGTGCACCTGTAGTCCCAGCTACTTGGGAGGCTGTAGCAGGAGGATCACTTAGACCCATGAGTTTGAGGCCATAGTGAGCTGTGATGACGCTACTGTACTCCAGCCCCAGTCTGGGTGATACAGTAAGACCCTGTCTCCAAAAAAAAAAAAAGACAGCCATGGTACTTCCTGTCTCACTTGCTCTTCTTACTGTGACTTCTCCTATTGAGATGTAGGATCAGTGTATCGACGTTCCCTCCTCTTGACGCTGGGAGCACAGCAGAAGTGACGCCACGTGAGTGCCAAGGCTAGGTCACAAGAGGTGGGCCAGCTTCCACCTGGCTCTCTTGGGACGCTCACTCTTGGCGCCCAGCCACCATGAGCGATACAAAGACACCCCGTGAGGCATTTTGGTTGACAGCCCCGCCGACAGCTGGCATCTGCGTGCAAGTGAGCCTGCAGATGACTGCAGAGGCCCAGACGTCACGGGGCCAGCTGCTCCTGCTGTGCTCCATCCACCTTCCTGACCACAGAGTCTGGGAACACGAGAAGGTAGTTTTGAGGCACCAAATTTTAGGGGCATTTGTTGTACAGCAATAGACAACCGATCCACTCGGGCAGCCTGGCTTGAGCCCAGCTCCTAACCACTTACCTTCTGTGTGATGCACTCCCGTTTCCCTGACCCACGCCCTTCTTCCGAGTCAAACCAAACTGCCTGCCGAGCCCTCAGCTGTCCCCCCGCCTGGGGCACAGTCCCCATACATCTTTATTCACACACCGAGGAGCTGAGCATCCACCAAGTGCCAGCACGCGGGAGACGAGGGCGCGGGAGGAGCGGGAGGAGCGTGCTGACGGGAGGGGGAAGGGCATGGCTCAGTTACGGGGAACAGGAAAGGTCCAGGAGAAGCAGCATCCACGCATGGCCCAGAGGACGCGGGGAGCGGGCCAGGGAAACACAGTGGTGCCGGGCCCTATGCGGGAAGGGCAAACAGACCCTGCGAAGGCCCACAAGGGACATGAGGACTGGAGCTGCTCTCATAGTTGGAGCAGAGACTGAGCAGGCGGTTGGTCGTGGGGGACGTGAGGTTGGGGCAGGCAAGGAGCTTGCGGGTGGGGAAAGAAGGGCCAGGTGGCCCAGGGCCACAGGGCCTGGCCATTTCTGTCCATACTATGTCCACTTTCCCCTCGCCCAGCTTCCCTTTGAGAATGCCTCCCCCGACTCCCAGTCCAGGTGGTCTGGGCCACCTCATCACTGGCACTGGGGGAGGCCTGACACCAGGTTAAGCCAATCAGAAACTTGTCCCTTGCCTGCCCTCAGGGACTGGTTCACACATAAACATGAGACCCGACAGGCAGAAACCAGAGCCACTCAGCCACCTAGGCCTCACGCAGGAACTCTGGGGAAAGGACCCTCTTCCTGCTGGAGTGGCAGGGTTGGTGGCCTGGGCCACCCAGGTCCAGGAAGGCCAAGGTGGGAGTAGAGGGGTGTGAGGAGTGGCTGCTGGGCCTCGCGCACCTGTGCCAAGCACGGAAGCCAACCGCACGTCGTAGTGGGCCTTCCCTTCCCGGTCGACCTCCTTGAAGAGCCTCGTGTTGTAGGCACTGAGGTTCTAGAAAAGAACAAGGCAGGGTTGGCTGGGAGGGGACAGAGCGGGAGTGGCCAGGCCAGGGCCGACTCTCCCACTCTGCTCCGTAGGTCGAGCGCTAGATTTTACCAAGCACCGACTCAACTGTGCCAGGCACCACGTGACCTCAGCCAACCCAAGGCTGCCCAAGGCGGCACCGCTTCAGACATGGAAACTGGTCACACACCGGGCTGCTCAGCCGGGACTTCCACGGGACACACAGACCCCAGAGCCCCAGCTGGAAGCTCAGCCTCGCCCTGTCCTGAGGCTGTCCTCAGGGATGGGGAGAGGGCTCCATCCCTAGCACGTGTGGGGTGGGACACCTCCCTTGTCTGTGCCCGGCTGACCTCTTAGTCAAGAATTCAAGTCTTTTCCGCCACAAGGACCCAAGATGCCGTGTCTCTGGGCCCGAGCAGAGACCCAGGCACAGTCACCGGGGATGAGGGATGGACCCTCAGCCACCCCCTGAGCTCCCCAGCCCCCACACCTGTGAGTCCAGAAAGTCTTGAGCCAGTTTGGCATCTTCCATGGTACAATTTCCAGAGAAATAGGTGGTGATTCCCTGTTGCGGAAGAGAGGCATGGGGAGAGGAGTTGCCGAGGTCGGGGGGGGGGGCGGCTGAAAGCGGCTCCGCCCCGAGACAAGCCCCGGGGGGGGGCGTGCAGGGACAGCCAGCAAGTCCCTTCCCAGGCTTCCTGTACCTCCTCTCAGCAGCCTCCACCCTGTCCCTCTCCATCTCTCTCTCCCATCCCTCCAGGAGAAAACGTAAAACAAACAAGATGCTCGTCTCCGGCCTCTCCCAGGGCCCGGCCCCATGCAGCCCAAGCGGCCTCCAGAGCTGGGAAGCCTGGGACCCCCTCCTCCGCCCCCTCCACCCCCCAGCCCTTCTTTCCTTCCCTCCTCCGCACACAGCATCCCTGGTGCACAGCGTCCATCTGGGAGGATGGATCTGGGAGGAATGTCGAAGAGCGTCCACCAGCCTGCTCCCCACCTCACAGACGACACACCCGCGGCCCACGGCGGGGAGCAGCTTTGCCTCAAGAGTGTGAGCAGAGCCCACTGTCTCCCCAGCAGGTGCCCTTCCCACCCTCCACTGCCCCCGCCACTGGGCGCCTCACCTCCTTCCCCAGCCCGAGGTGTCGAAGCCTGGGCTCCAGAGAGAACATGAGCTCCCCGCACGCCTGCCACAGGCCCCTGACCTTCTCCGGGTGCCGCTGAGCAGCCTCGCTCCCCAGGATCACACGTTCCAGCTTCTCCTGCAGGGCAAGGGAGGGCACTGGCCCGGTCACACCACGCGAACCTGCCCTGCAGAGCCTCCCCACCCACGCCCGAGCTCCCCCCATGGCCTAAGACCTTCGGCTCAGAGCGTGGTCCATGGAGCAGCAGCGGCCATGCCTGAGAAATGTCGAACCCGGTTCCCCCCACCCCCGCAGATGCGCTTAGTCAGACGCGGCATTTCAACAAGACCGCAGGCGCCCCGTGTGCACGCTAAAGTCAGAAGCCCTGGGGTAAGAGCCGGATGGGCTCGAGACCCGGATCCCGGGCAGGGTGCGTGCTAGGGCTTCTCCGCGGTTCCCTGTGATGACCAACAGGCTCCATTTTTGCAGGTGCCTAAAAGTTCACAGAACATTTCCGTGTTCCGCCCCTGTTCGACCTGCAGATCAGCACGGTCGGGAAGAGCTGTGCTTTTCCTCTATGCGTGAGGCTGGGTGACACCCACGGTCACGCAGCACGGCAGTGACAGGGTCAAGGCTCTGCCCCAACTGTAGTCAGGCTGGGGCTCCTTCTACCGCATTCCCCACTCCCACCCACCGGCCCCCTCTGCCCCACCTTCCCCACACACCCTCAGCTCACCTTGGGCAGGTTGGGAACAAACTTGGTGTCACCGAAGGACTTGTAGTTGCCCATGTTGGAGTAGACACCCGCAGCATAGACCAGGAACGCCTGAGGGGGAGGTGGGCATCAGAGACCTGGGGAGCACAGCACCCCCTTCCCCAGGGACGTCTCCTCCTGAGATGCCAACACCAGTACGGGTGAGGCTGGGAAATCTGGGGGCAGGACCCAGATCCCGGGAAGCTCTCGCTGGGCAGCTTGAGCCGTCTGCCCATCCTGTAGTCAGGGAAGGTGATTTCTCAGACTGGCCAAGCCGGCCCGGTCGGGCGCCAGCCTGCTTTCGGAGACCGATCTGCACACCCTCATCGTCCAGCCAACTGGTCTTCTCGGCAGTTCCCACACACACCACCCAAGCACTCGCCCGCCTTGCTCCTCCTACCCCCGGCACGCTTGCAGCCGTCTGGGGCCTACGTCCCTTAAGGCCCAGTTCTAACACCATCTCCTCTCGGAAGCCCCAGACCTATCAGGCAGCTGGCCTTGGACGCATCGAACGTTAGAGCTGGACAGGGCGTCCATCATCCATCTACTCTGGCTTTTGCCGGCCCCAAATCCTGCCTCCCTGCCTCTGTTAACAAGACCTCGATCTTCCTTACCCCAGCTGCGGGGATGGGCATGTAGGCCGGCTTGGCCAGTCTGAGAAATTGCCTTCCTTGGCTCCAAGGATGGGCGCAAGGCTCCAGCTGCCCAGTAAGAGCTCTCCCCAGGCAACTTCCCATTGGCAAAGGGCCTCCGCCTTACACTAGGGATGGGCCTGCCTGGACCCCTGGAGCCCCCTGCTGGACGAGGAGAGAAGGCCAAGCTGAGAGAGGAAGGCTGCACCCCAAGGGGGCCCTAACCCTGACGCCAGTCATGCCCGAAGCCTACTTGAGCCCTCGGCTTGCAATTATGTGAGCCAGTAATTCTCTTTTTCATTTAAGCCAATTTGAGTTGGCTACTTGCAAACCTAAGATTCACCCTGAAAACAGTAATGCTTGGGTAGCACTTTTCCATTTATAAACGTTTCCACAGAGATTAGCTCTTTTAAAGAATGAAACAAGGTCTCGAGATGGGAAGTGATTACCTAAAATTCAAAAGAGGTAGAAGAAACAGCACCTCAGCTTGGAGATAAGCAATACAGTCCTTTTATTTCACACACAGAAAAACAGGCTACGTTCTTGCACGTTCTTGGTGGGGCTATAACTTGGCAAAGCGTTTTCAGAAAATGATTTAACGGAATCAGTCAAGGTATAGAACCTGTGACCCAAAGTATTTTCCACTTCTAGGAAAAGATATTACACACGTGTGCAAATATGCTCACCATGGCACTGCTGGTAGGAAAAACAAGAACCACCGAAACGCCTAGCAATGAAGGAAAGCTTCGGTGGATTGTCGTGCACACTGCTGCGGAATGCTCCACAGCCGACAAAAAGAACGAGGTAGGTTTATATGTTCCCCATGGCAGTTCTCCAAGACGTGGCATTCAGTGAAAAAAGCAGGACACAGGAGAACATGACCTCGTTCAGGTAAAAGAGCAAACAAGGAACTGACACACGTGCGTGTGCACGCACAGGTGTGTGATACACAACAGGGGACTGAAAGGGCTGGATGCACCACCCCAGTCTCAGCAGTTACTTCTGGGGAGGACACCGAGAATGAGTTGTCTTTGTGTTTTGTTTTGTGTCTTTCCTCACTGCTGCAATGCACTAAGAATTCATGCATCGCTTTGCCAACAGATCCACAGACAAAAAAACCTAGAGGACAGATAGAACATTCTGCCCAAGGACACACAACGTGGTAAAGAAATGGTCCAGAACCCAGACCTCCTGTTTCCTACCCTGAACTCCTTCCTCTGCCTTCTCTGAATCGTCACCGCTGTTTCCTTTGTCACACTCTCAGCAGCCAGCATTTACCTTCGAGTCAGGCACTGTTCTAAGTGGGGCGTCACAGCACTGACAGGTGTTTCTCATTTTACAAATGAGAAGACTGTGGCTCCAGGAGGGGAGGTTCCTGAATTTGTAACCTTTGGTCTAATCCTACACGTACTCCCTGGAAGAGACAGAGACTTTTGCACCCCTGCATCCTGGTCCCTCACACCCAGAAGCAACTCGGGAAATGTGGGTTGGCCTGAGAGAACTGACCTGATACTCCTCCTCGGTGAGGCCCTCAGCCAGGGCGTGTTGGCGCAGTTGGTCAGGGTCCTGCGCGCGGAAGAGGCGGCTGAGCAGGGCGTAGATGTAGGGGGCCTCGGGGGAGGTCTGCAGCAGCACAGCCAGGCCTCCGTACCAGGCGGCCCGCGACAGGTGGTGGGCATAAAGGCGCTCTGTGGGTGACAGCAGGCGGAAGGCCTCACGGCAGTCCAGGCTAGATACGCCGATGTCATTGGGCAGGATGTACTGGGTGTCCGCCATGGGCTCTGCTGGGAACCATCACTGTCATCATTTATTACACATCAACCGCACACCGGCTCTGAGCTCTTACGATCTCATTTAATCCTCCCAAAGCCCATGCCGAAGGGAATACTATTGTACCCATTCACCAGATGTACTCACTGAGACTCAGAGAAGGGTGGTTAGGTGACTCACTCAAAATTTCAAAATACATTGATGGGCCATATTTGGAATGTAGCCCCTCAACCTTAAAGAATGAATTCAACTACTTAGTACTACAGATGGGGAAACTGAGGCTCAGAGAGGCTAGGAGCCTGGCCCAATCACACAATGGAGGGGTGAGCAGCAGAGACCCTCCTCTCTAGACTCTTAGCCCAGGCCCCTCCCTGGGTCTCCTCCTCCTTCTCTGACCTCCTAGCCTCTCTATTCAGAATTCTTCAACACCCCTCACTGTGTCCACAGGGACAAAGTGCCTGGCTGCCAGCTGGAAGACTCAGGTTCTAATCCTGACTCCACCAGACTTCTAAAAGTCAAGTCAATTGCTTCACTTTTCTGCTGTTTCCTCCTCTATAAAAATGGGATGATAATACCCCCAACTTCACCAAGTGTGTGCACAAATTAGACGAGGCCTCCCTGGAGGAATGTACCCACAGCAGTAAACGATCTTCCTTGCGCTCCTTTCCGCCCTCACTGCTCCCGGGGTCTGTCCCACTCTCATCCCTCTAACTGCCTTTTCCTGAGCTCTTCATTCTCCTACCCTTTCCGTGTGCTCGGCCAGGGAAGCCACAGATGTTCAGAGCTGAAGAAAACCCATTTTACAGATGGGGAAATTGAGGCTTGGAGAGGCCAAGCAACTTACCCAAGGTCTTACTGCCCCTTTGGGACCCGGGGATCTCCCAACCCACGGCATTCTCCACACCCCCCTCCTGGCTGGGAATGAGTTTCCAGCCTTTCCCCCGACTTTGGAGGCTCCGCCCCAAAAGCACAATCTCCCGGGTTCTGAAAGGGTGTTAACTCTTTGCTGTCCGGAGCGCTCCTTGGCCTCGATGCTGGGATGAATTTGGAAGGGGCACTGGAGAGTGGGTAGAAAGGAAATGATTTTGCACTCAGTCCAGCCTCGCCTTGGTCCCCGGGAAGGACACACTGTGACCCCCAAACCCGGGCACCGCGCCTCACCTCCAGCAGCTGCTCTGTTCGCAAACTCACTTCCTGCTTCCGGCTCCCCCCATTCATTGGGGCTCTGCGAACCCCGCCCCCACTGGCCAATTGTCTGGCCCCGGGGCCCGGATGGGCGTCAGCTCCAGCCAATAGGCGCGCCGAGGAGAGCCTCTCGTTCCCGGCGGCTCCCACCCCCAGGCGCTACGGGGTGGCGCGGGGATCTGCCCCGGTGGCCTTGGCCTTTTGTCCGCAGGCCGCGCTCGTGCCGGGACCGGGAGCTTCCGCTCCCCGCCTGGCAGCGGCCTAGTCCCACGGACGGGGCTCGCAAGGTCCCCGAGCTCGGGCGGGACCGTCGCGGGCATCAGGGACCGAGCACCAAGGATCCCCCCCCCCAACGCGCAGCCCCGACCCCTTTCCCTTTTGGGGTTTCGCCTCAGAGTCCCCTGACCTCAGTTTTACAGGGGGGAACCTGCGGCTCTCCCTCCTCCCTGGACTCGCGGCCCCGGGGGTGGGAACTCGTCCGAGACCGCGAAGCTCTCGGTGCCGAGAATTGAGGCTACGGGTGAGCGGGCTGAGGGGTCCCGCCGCGCAGGGGCGCCGGGAAACGCCCCGAGCGCCTCCCTGCAGCGCCACCGACTCGCCCGGGGCCCGGGGGCGGTCGCCTAACGCTCCCGAGCCGGTGTCCTCCGCACCGAGGCGCGTGCAGGGAGGGTCCGTCAGTTTCTTGCCTGCCTGGTGCTTGATGGCCGAGAAAGCCTCCTGCGACCCAGAACGGCAGCCGGGGCGGAGGCGGGACGCCGAGGTCCTCTCTTAGTGCGGTCTGGGCTCGGCCTGAGGGTCCGGGTCAGACTGGGGCGCAGCCAGGTAGTCTAAGGTCGAATCAGGCCTCCGCCACCTGTCGTGGCTTTATGGGGGAACCTGGCTAATAATTGAATCCAACCCGAGGGACACTGTAGGCTCATGCGTCGCCTGGGCAGTGCCGCCCCCTGTGGCCGTGCTGGGCTGGGTGTTTGGAGACGGAAGTCCGGCACTCTCCTTGCCACGCGCGTCGGCCCAGGCGGCGTCTGCCACCACAGACTCCAGTTTCTCCTTCACAAAGGTGCCCAAGGCCCCGCGTGGCGCAACAGTGCTACTAGCTGTCGGGTTTGATGATGACTGTCGCTATATGGGGGAGCTCCATAAGTTGGTCTACGACCTCAGGACTGAGTCACCCCTCTTCTTTCCTGTGCCTCAGTTTTCGCTGTCTTTAGAAGGGGTATGAACTTGACCCGGCAGAGTGAAGTGTACACAGGCAGGAGGTAGTGCTGCCCGCCGCCACCAGGGCGCAGCTCGGGCAAGCAAACGATCCACACTCTTGGGACCTGCGACCGAGCTGCATGCTCGCATTGTGGTGATTACAGCCAATATGGGCACTCACTGCGGGCCCTTGCTAGCAGCTTGACGTGGAGGATCTCATTCAATTCTAAAAACCCTGAGGATACCATCATTTTGCCCATTGTACATACGGGGGAACAGGCTAAGAGGTTCACTGATTTCCATAAGGCTACGGGCACGTTCTCAGGTGTCCCTGAACTGGGCCCTAGCCTTATTCAGACCTTCCACCACGCTGTCCCTTCCTCCTGCCCTAAACACACACACACACACACACACACACACACACACGCAAAGCAGTCTCCTCACTGGAGCATAACCCCGCCAGCCTTGTCTCTTCCCCATGGGAATGAAAAAAGGGGTAGGTGAGGACATAACATTAAGTGTCTACTGTGTTACAGGTGCCCTCCACACATTCACAACCCCCTGGTGAGGTAGGGACTGTTATTCCATTTAACAGTTGAGGAGACTGAGGCTCCAATAGCTGGCAAGGGCAGAGCTGGGACAAGACCCAGGGCCCTCTGACTCCCTCCGCCAACACCTGAGTTCTCCCAGCACCAGGCAGGTCCCCTTCTCTTGTCTCTCCTCCCAGATCCTGAGGTTCCCCGCTGGAAAGCGGGTGACAGTGTTCCCCTGCCTGGTTCCCTACTGGGTCAGAAAAGAGAACACCTGGGAAGAGCTGGATTTCTAGTGCTTTGGGGGCGGGGAGGCTGAAATGCTCCCACACGGCTCCAGCCTCCCCACCCGCCCTGTTGTAGCCCTGTTGTAGCAGTGTGATATTCGGGAAGCAAGGATCTGCTCACATCCCCCTCTCCCCGCACCCGCAGAGGCGCCCTCTGTTCTCTCAGTAAGCCCAGGTCTGGTCTCTCTGGCTCCAGCCAGCTGTGTGGCCTTGGGCAGGTCCCTCCCCAAGGCTATGGCATCTGTCTTCCACTGGGGACAACACCCAGGTCAGGCCTTTCCCATCTCCAGAACACGTCTATCTTCCTGGCTTGCTCCCCCCAGGAATGGTCTGGGGGCAACCCCAGCAACACCCACAGCTTGGCCCTTGGCTCACAGGGCGAAGTGACCTGTAGCCAGGATGACTAGAAGCCCAGTTCAGACTCCGCCTCCATGGCAACCATCCCTACCCCCCCATTCCCTTTTTCTGCCGCTGTGCGCACTGGGCTCATTGGTTGTCAAGCATTTTCCTGCTACACCATGCTATTCCCCTCACCTGGGCTGCCCTCCCAACTCCTCCCTTCCTCTGGAGACACGGTGCCACGCAAGACGCAGCTCAGGCCCCAGGTCCTCCCTGTGCCTTCTCCCTCCTCAGAACACCTCCAGCCTGGCTGCCGCCCCACTGCATCCGGCCCGGGTGCAGGGGTCAGCACGGTGGTCAGCTTCCAGCACGGACACATGCAGATCCCTCCTCAGACCAGGAGCCCCGGGAGGCAGGGCCTTGCTCACCGCAGGGCCCTGCCTGGGGCTGAGCATGGAGCAGGTGGGTGTCCACCAATCCAGTCTCCAAAACCCTGCTGGTGTGGAAGAGCAGCGCAGTGCGGTGGGGAGGGGCGGGCTCTGACGCCAGATGGGCAGCTGTGGATTCCAATCCTGGCTTGGCCACTTTCTAGCTGTGTGACTTGGAGCACGTGCCTTAATCTCCCTGTAAACACAAATGGCAACACCGCCCTTCCTGGGGTCACTGTGGATTAAGGAAACCTTGGAAGCAGAGCCGGGTGCCTGGTGAGTGCTCAGCGAGCGCAGTTATTATTATCATTAGCACAGTGCGGGGCACAAGGTGGGCATTCGGGAACGATAGCCCTTGTGTCACAGCCAACGCTCTGGACCTGCGCATCCCTCTCCTTTGTTGACTCCTGACCGTCCACAGTGAGGTTCACAATCCTCCATCCAGCATCTTCCCCAGTTGGCAGGGCCGACCTCTTGCTCCAGCCCCCTCCCTGCCCCCTGCAGCCCATGCTCCAGCTGCCCTGAATCTGTCCCTCAGTTTCCTGTTTGCTGACACCCGAGCCTGTGCAGGCCCTCCCTTCTGCCTTGAGCACCCTTCCTGTCCTGTGGACCTGGAAGACTCCAAGCAGCCATCGAGGCTGAGCTCCTAAGCCACCTCCTCTGCGAAGCCCCCTCCCCCGCTGCCAGTGAGGACTGCCCCACAGGCCCTGACCATTCTGTGATCCTAGTGCTTCCCAGCACAGGAAGCTATGCTGTCATTTGACAACTTTGTCGGTACTCCACTAGGCTGTGAATTCTGCCCCTGGGGGCCGGGGGGACCTGGTCTGATTGTCCTTGTGTCCCCAGAGCCCACTTGGCATGGAGTCCAACCCATAATGGCTGTCAGCAAATGCCAGTCCCAGCCTGCCATCTACCCAGCGCTGGCTCCAGGGCTGGAGGCACTGCACGCATGCGGGACACATGGGATTTGGGTGGGCAGCTGAGCAGCGAGGTTTATAGAACCCAGGGTAGCAGCGGGAGGGATGAATATCTGGAACTGGGTTGGCAGGCTCAGGGCACAGCCAGCCTAGGCTGGGGGTCAGGGGTCCTTGGCCCCTTCACCCCCCCAGGGGCACACAGTGTAGGCGGCATGACGTGGGAC